TTTATACAGTTGTCAGCCAGGCATCTAACTATGAAAAATTACACTCCAAAAGACCCCGGGCTTCTGAAAAAACAACCCGGGCTTAAGCCCAGTAAGCCACCCCCCCGCTCCGCCAATGATGACAACCCGTTTAATATTATCTTAGGTAATACAAGAAAAAAATAAAAACAAAAAGGATTTATGAGGTCGTGCTATGCTTGCAGTGACTTGGTATTTACTGATTAAATAGTAGCAGAAGGTAGGCTAACACTTATATATCTTGGAAAACCAAAATGCATTTGGCACAGTGCATTCAGATCATAATTCTGATTGCAAAAGCTGCCAGACAGGACAGAATGAAAAAAATAAATATAAATGAAAATGTGCTTACATCTCCCCATTCCTTATAAAGTGTTCAGTGTTGTGAACTACTTCATCTGCTAGCAAGGGTATGGGCTGTGTGGCTGCATCTCTCATACAGACGGTCTGTATTTAATCCCATAGTAATTTGTAATATGCATCAGTATACGGGTATCAATTTTACTGACAACCCTAGTAATTGTACTATGTTTGTTGTAATTTTGATCTCCTGAAGTCAATGTGTATGTGTGCGTGTGTACAGGAGTGTGGAGGATAATTCAGAATAATGCATGAGGGTTAACAAAGAAACAATTTGGTGGTCATTTGTTAGCCTGCTATGAATGCAATAAAATCTTTGCAACAAGTTTAAATGAGTCTAAAACCATAAATTTGCTGATGCTGGCTTGTCCCAAATATGATTACATGGAAAGCTAATAGTGGATAGAGAACTTGTTTTCCTGCTGAGTTCTCCTGCACTATAACTGAAAGGTGATTAAGGCAGAGTTAAAAGCATTCATAATGTTAAACTAAATAAAAGAAAATAGATGTAATGTGCAAACTAAAACACTGTTTGTCAGAGATTTGAAATGTATATTAGGACCTATACATTTATTAGGAAGTATAACAACCAGTACATTAAATCCCAATCAATAAAGTTGTGCCTCTATAAGAGAAACATCTTACTTTGACAGTTGACTGAGGTCCTCACAAGAGAAAGGAATCAGCAGCTGAAAGTGTCTCAGAGTGGTGCCAGCACACCAATCTAGCACCAGCTTTCGGACCACTGTACTTTTCCCTGTTCCCACAGCACCATAGATGAGGACATTGAGCCCCCGGCCCTCACTCCAGGTATCAGTGTGCTGAAACAGCTGTTCCACAGTTACAGAGCGATTACAGTGTGTTTGGGTTTGGAATGGAGAGCAGAGTAGTCCTGCCCTCTCCTCAGCATCAGTTTCAAGGATCAGTGGGTCGACATGCATGGTTTCAGGGCTGAAGAAACCTCCAAACTGTTTTTCCTCCTGAGGAAGGTGGCTAAACCATAGGAGGAGCTTTCTCTTGTGGATCTCTATTGGGTCTATAGAGAGAAAGAAAAAGGTGGTGTTTTTATTCTTTAAGTGGTGGATTTTCTCAGATGTGATGAAACCTTATTAAAGTGGAAATGTAAAGCAATAATTAATTTAATACAATGATCACACATGTATTATGTACAGTGCTGTGAAAAAGCATTTTCCCCCTTCCTTTTTGGACTCTGACCTTGAGTTTGAGATCACTGAGATCCACACTACTCAAATGTTTTAGTATACACAGTACTGTGCAAAAGTTTAAAGCAGGTGTGAAAAAATGCTGTAAACAAAGAATGCTTTCAGAAATATAGATGATTGTTTATTGGCTCCAAATGTATTCTTGTAGCAGGACAATGACCCCAAACATACAGCCAAAGTCATTAAGAGCTATCTTCAGTGTGAAGAAGAACAAAAAGTACTGGAAGTGATGGTATGGCCTCCACAGAGCCCTGATCTCAACATCATCGAGTGTGTCTGAGATTACATGAAGAGACAGAAGGGTGCGAGGAAACCTACATCCACAGAAGATCTGTGCTTAGTTCTCCAAGATGTTTGGAACAACCTACCGGCCGAGTTCCTTCAAAAGCTGTTTGCAAGTGTACCTAGAAGAATTGATGCTGTTTTGAAGGCAAAGGGTGGTCACACCAAATATTGATTTGATTCCAAATTCACTTTTGTACATTCACTGCATTTTGTTGATTAGTCAAAGTCAAATTAAACTTTATTGTCATCTCCGCTATATACAGTACAGTACATAGAGAGACGAGATGACAAGGCTCCAGGTGCATCAGTGTAAAAACAAACAAATATAACAAGAGTAGAAAATAAATATACAATTCAGGACTATGGGCAAAGGAATCAGTAACAATTTATTTGAAATTTACAATTTACAGTTTGATAGGTCACCTTGAAGTGATTTAAAGTGACCAGTGTAGCAACTTGTAAACATGAGCAGAATTCTTGAGAGTAATGACTGTCCATAAGCAGCATCTGCATTACAAAAGCAGGATCGGGACCCGATGCTGTGATAGCGTCTGCTGGATGGAAGCATCGGCAGCATTAACAAAAATGAATGATTAACACTTTCATTTTTGAAAGCATTTTTTCTCACCTGCCTAAAACTTTTGCACAGTGCTGTATACCTAGGGTATCCATTTGAAACTATTGTATTCATAAACTTGGGTGTTCATGTCGCCCTCCCACCCAGTAGGGTAACGAGAACACCCCAGTCTTTTATGGCTAAGTGATGTACAACAACAATGTACAATGTAAAACAACTTTGTAAAAAATGAAAGGGCAAAAGGCCCATATTGAAGGCCTTATTTTGTAACAAGGAAATACCATCATTGTACTGTTCTACAAAGTACTGTGACATTACTACCAAACAATTGACTGATATTGCATTTAAGAGACAGTAACTGAGAAAATGAACTAAAGTGTGGACCTGGTTCTAAAGAGTTTGAGGTAGTAAACTTCCTGCAGTAAAAACCAGAGACTGGCCAGGGTGCAGCCTCCATTCCCATCTGCCACATCCTCCATGTTTTGAGTAGATGACTCATCTGTCTGGAAAAAATAATGCATCATGTGATTAGTTCAGCTGTTGCTTACAATCTTAACAAAATACAAATGCACAGAGAACAACATTTCTCTTGTCTCAAAGGGCACAACTTGCTTTCATTACTTTGCTGCTTACTTAATCCGATAATCACGCTAAGGAATAACATGTAGGAACAAGCTGCTGTTTGCATATTGCAGCAGATTAAGTTATTACACCTCCAAAGCACTGACTTTTACGCAACTGCACACAATTAATATAAACACAAATGAAACCTGTCTACTTTTACTCTGAGAAACTTCCTGCAAGGTTCCTAAGAATTCTGTTGGGTCTTTATTACAAACAAAGAAAACAATGGAAATATGAACC